CACACAAACACACACACACACACACACACACACACACACACACACACACACACACACACACACACACACACAACACAACACAACCTTACTGACACAACATAAAAAACATTCTTCCGGTAAATCTGGTTCAGATCCAGAATATAGACTCTATTGATATCTATGTTATTAGAAGTAAAACTAACCTGTTCTCAGCGGAAAAAAACTTTCACAAAACTGACCCACTTGTTCGCGTGGTGGTGAGCGTTTGCTGAATCCACACACACTCACGCACACACTCAGTCGGTACTCACACGGAAACCCCCAATAATAATCCTGGTGAGCCAGCGAACTCTCCACTCAACTCAACCGCTCTTCTCTTCTGCTTTTAGCCAGCACTAAACACGCACAGGGAGGGCACAGCAGACGACACACACACATACACACCACACAGGCTACACACACACAGACACACACCCAACGACGCCGAGTGCAAGCCAGCTGCTCGTGAACTAACCCAACTCACCCACTCTCTCGTCTGCCGTCTGAGCGGAACAGTAATCGAGTTGTACGCGTATCGATACCAAGAATGAACGAGTTTGATTCGCGCCAAAGAGGTTATAAAATTTAGCCCATCATAACCTGTAGGTGGTGGGAGTCTGCTTGTTATAGCCTAGTGGTGGAGCTCAAACCTAAATTATAGCATCTTCAAAACAAAACAAAAACCCATCGCTATCACTTACTTTTACTTTTTACGTTTTCATCCTCTGTTGCCGTTTAGCCAAGAGGGGGGATACAGTTTTCTATGGTAGGCCAGCTCCGCAGCTCTTTCAAAGCTGTGATATTATGTTTTTTTAGGGTTTCCTTGACACCCCTGATCCACCATCACTATTATCATCATTTAATGTATTCCCACTCTATCCTCCCTTTTCTTCTTCGTCTCCTCCTCCTCCTCCTCCTCCTCCTCCTCCTCCTCCTACTACTACTACTACTACTACTACTACTACTACTACTTTTTCGTGTAATTCATCTTTTTTATGAAAAAAAAATCTTCTTCTTCCTATCTTTTCCTTATCCTCTTTCGTTTTCTTCTTTAAGGACGTCAGATCGATACCGACAATGATACAAATCCAGTATCCATCGATTCGATACTGGAACGCGATATCAGCCCGGCTCAACTGAGTCCCCACTCGGCGAAGAGAGAAGCTCGGCGGCCCACCAGGACTGAGTCTGAGAGAGAGAGTCACAAAGCGAACCGCAGGCCATGTGGACAGCCCCACAATCTCACAAATCCCAACCCGTGCGGGCGCGGCGGGGCGGCGGATATTATTTCCTTCCAGTCAGACCTTGATACGATCGCTTCAGCTCTCTGAGAAATTGAAGACAGACAGACAGACAGACAGACAGACAGACAGACAGACAGACAGACAGACAGAGACAGAGACAGAGAGACAGAGAAATTGAAAAGAGAGCAGAGAAATTGAACAGAGTGAGAGCAAGAGAAATGAAGGAGGGAGAGAGCCAGAGAAATTGAAGAGAGAGAGAGAGAGAGAGAGAGAGAGACAGACAGAGAGAGAGAGAGACAGAGAGAGAGAGGGACAGAGAGATTTAAAAGTGAGAAAGAGAGAAAGAGACAGAGAGAGAGAGACAGAGAAATTGAAGAAAATGAGTGTGTGTGTGTGTGTGTGTGTGTGTGTGTGTGTTTGTTTGTTTGTTTGTTTGTGTGTGTGTGTGTTTGAGAAAGAG